TATTAATCCTGTATCATCGGCATATTGGATATTTAAAACAGGAGTATTTTCAAAATCTATGCCTTTAATGAAATTGTTATGTCTTATTTTGATAGCTAGAATTTCAGCACATAAAATGAAGATATATGAGGCGATCGGGTCTCCCTCTTTCAATATTAACATTATCCGATAAATTACCACCTTGGTTAATTGTTGCAAAAACATTATTATCAAAAACTTTGATCCATTTTCTTATATCATTACCATAATTAAAATACTTTAATACTTCGTCTATAAATTTCCAAGAAACCGAATCAAAAGCCTTTTCGAAGTCATTAAGCATAAGCATACCAGGTTTATCTGAATCTTCAAGATAATGCATTATATCAGAAACTGTTCTAATGTTTTCTCCAATATATCTACTCGATAAAAATCCTGTTTTATCCTCATTTATAGTGCTGTCTAAAACTGTTTTAATTCATTGTGCCATTACTCCGGAAGCTATTTTATATGATATATTTAATAGGGTAATTGGTCTCCATTGGGTTTTTTTTTAAAGTGGCGTGGCTTATCTCCCTTGGGGATGCATACAATAACACCATGTCTCCGAGTAATTGAACATTGGCCAGTTAAAAAACCATGATTTAGAGAACGAACAACAAAATGACCTAAGCGTTTCCAAAATACCTTAAAAAATTCTGAAGTAAAACCATCTGACCCCGGGCTTTTGTTATTTTTCATATTTCCTAAAAAAAATACCGGCTTCATTAAAAGTTATCTTACCCTCAAGAAATTCTATTTTATTATTACTTAGCTTAGGAACATAACATTTTTTAATGAACTCCTAAATCAGTATTTTCCATTTCCCTAGACTTATACAAGTTTTCATAGGAAGACTTCACATAAAATATCTTTTTGTTGAGTTATAAGATTTCCATTCTCCATCTGAATTTTTGGTATAACATTTGATGTGAATTTTCTATTTTCTAAATTAAAAAAATAAGATGTTGGCTTTCCCCACTCTTCTACCCACTTTGCCCTTGATCTAACTAAACTCCACTGAACTTTTTCCAAACGAAGTGCAATCTTGATAGCACGACTTCCTAAAACGTAGGAAAGTGGATTTATCTTATCACAAAATATACTGTCAATTCTATAGATATCTGCCTATGGTGAAAAAAACTTATAAAAAAGTATTATTTCAGAAAAAAATATCTACAATAAAATGTATCCAATTAAGTATTGACATAGAAGTAGAAAGGATTAACCAATTACACGTATATTCATCATCAAAGTAAACACATATTTCATTTATCTAATTTTTTCAAATTATATTGATGAGAGTGCTTGAGACGCATTTGCACTCAGGCTTTTCCAATCCATTCGATTTAGTCCTTTTAAAATTGTATTTTTGCTAATTTAATAAGGTTCTGTTTAAACGCACAGTATCTGTGTTTGTTCGTGTTGGTTTAAGCCGGTTACAGCATACGTGCCATGTGTACACTTGAGATAAAGCGGCCCGACTATTCACGGCCACATCCGTTCACAGTAAAAGTGCCTGGTTTGTGTTGACATAATTAGATAGATATCACTAGTCAGAGTAAGTCAATGGCATTACATTGAAATCTCAAAATCACTCATATCATGATCCAAACCGGATCAAATACTGTATCATAAACTTCTAAAACTTACATTCACCTACAATGCCCCTGCCGAGTGCGTGTTTTTAAATTTCTCTTGCTGAAGGTGGTAAGTGATTTTGATATGAAAAAATGACTTTCTATGATAATGGGTTCTATCGTTATCATTACGTCAGATTTCCTTTCACTCCGTGTTGCATTGCCATGTTACAATGATTTATTTCTCTTGTTGTCAATCAGCGTTGATTTATACAGTAAGATAATCGAACGTTTAAATTATGACCCTATTGTAAGTGTTTGAGACTGTGAAATTATTTCCTTATTTCACAATCATGGAATTAGACTTTTAATTTGTATTACAAAGAATATTTTTAGCATCACTGGCAAGTCCATGTTGTATGATGCACCTTAATTCATTTTTTGACTTTATCGTATCTGGTTCTCAAAAACGAAAGCCAATCAGTACCACGTGAAAAACAAAAATATCTGGTATTTCTATTTTCATGTCGCACTAATAGGCTTCAGTAGGAAACTGAGAGGTGAAAATGTTATTTGTCTTAATATATCAAATTAATTTATCAAAACTATAATACTGATACCGAAAGCTGTATTTTAAAATATATACGGACAGGAATAACGATGAAAATACAGTTTGAATAATGATAATTTACACTGGATGAAACTGGTGATATGAATTTACAAATTATAGACATTTGTACGTTTTTATATGTTTTACAGAGTTTTGAGATAGCAGATTGTAGACACTTCTTGTGAACTTCCCCGCATAGATTTTGACTTTTCTTTTGATCACATTGGATTTTCCTCAGTCGCCTTCTAGACTTCTAAAATGTAGGCCCTCACCATTACTGACGAGTCCTAACAGAAACAGCTATATGATGCAGTTTAATTAATTGTATCTAACTCTCAATTTGTATTAAAACTGCTGTTCACTTGTGTATCTTTTGTATAACGTAAACCACTGCTTACGATTTCTAAGTTGAGGACAGTATGTAATGTTTTCAACTACAGGATAGATACGTGTATAGAAGTATTTTAAATTATGTCATTTTCACTGTCTTGAATCATATGTGCGGAGGGAAGGTTGAATGTCTACAGTAGTCAGCGAGAGAATTTGTTTGCGTGAACAATATGAAAATTCCATAATACTCTTTTCAATACTTATTTAGATGTAGATATAGAGCACATAGAAATATAATAGAAAATGTATAAACATCAACTATGACTTACTTGTTAATACTACAAAAGATATACCCGATCTTTTGCATTCCTGCGTTGTGGAATGGAATATATTTAATAAAATGAGAATTTAGTGATGGTAAAGTGAATGCCCATACAGCTCATTGATCAGTTTTATTGTGTTCATCTAGAGTTTCATACATCGGTAAATGATACTGAAATTTGTGAAAACTTGCTATGGCAGACAAAATGAAGATACTTACTTAAATGTGAAACGAATTTGTCACCATTTGATACTATATTAACGCAATTTGGCGTTGGGATTCTACATCTATCGTCCGAAATAGAATACATGGAATCGTTTGTTTTTTTCTTTCAAATGTGTACTTGCGTTAATCAACCATGAATAACTCGATGGTCTATTTAAGAAAGGATGTTTGCTGTTACTGATAAAGAGTAAAGAGGTTTTAAGTAGATATCCGATGAAATTACTGAAACTGACAGGGGCATAACGCTATAATGAGCTTACAGGGCATTGTATGAGAAAATCCAACTCTTAAGTAAAGATAATACATTATTGAATTGATTCCGATGAAAACAACCAGCGTAACGAGATAGATATAACGTGATAATTTATACAAGAGTCAAGGAATAATCTGGATACCTTCGGTGCGTAACTTGTTGCTGGTTAGTTTGTCGTGCATTTATATCTGATAGCCAGTGGTTTTTTCAAAGGTACGATAGTTTTTTAGTATAGGTTAAGTGCACAAACACCGAATGTTGAATGAAACTAGTATATATCATAGTGTTCGTTGCAGTGAGTTTATTATGTTAATGTTTGATGATTTTGAGAGTATCACACCATTAAGACATATTTTACTCCTCCTTTCACCTGTATATAATCTTACTGTTATTGTTTGTCAATAATAATATAGCATTTTTTAGACACTTTATTCGTACTATGTCCAGAAAGATACATTGCATGTCTTAGTACGTGATCAGTAAGATGTTTAATTGTATAATGAGAAATCCAAAATGCTCTTTCACACGAAAATAAATTGAATATCATTTTACACAAATTATCATTTGTGTTTGTGTAGTAGCACATGAATTACGAAGCAACGATATTATATATTTTTGTAGTCAGTGGTTTTTCTTACTTCCTGATTTCGTCTCATTGTTTTACAGGTGGCTTGATGTGCTGAAATGGGCGTTCATACAATAAGATCTTGTTTGTACACACGCTACCGGTTTGTGTTAGCCTTTTTCTTAGGTTTTGGTATTTTCTGGTCGTTCATACAAATACGTCGACCAATGCAAGAGGTAAGTTTAATATATACAATGTATCATTAAGAATTAATTACAGTCAGCTATGATTGAAAAAGACACGTGTAAACAGTACCTTTAAACACAATACATCAATTGGTATTAGATGATAATAGATAACCACATATTATAGGGATCATTTCTTTACAAGACTTAAAGTCCTCTATTACAGCCTTGCAGCAAATGAACTCCATAATACTGCCGTTTGTCTATCTAGGACTCGTCAGGAATGATGCTGTAGGCATATACCGTAGAAAAGCTCTGAGTAAGGTAAATCAAAATTGTTTGAAAATTGGACCAAAAACCTCCAAGTCATTTATCACGAAGAATTAGGATGTCAACAAACGTTCGAATATCGTAATAATTGGAACAGGTCCCTGAATATCGAATTAACAGCGATATGTTAACAGGGTGTTGCTATATGTATCAAGAAACGGAAAGATTCACAATAGAGAAATTGAAATCATCACGCTTATCATACAGCTTGGTGGAAAGCTGTCCATGTTGGTTTCGTTTTAGGGAAAGATCGAAATGGGCGGCTGATGTAACAGAGCCTGTCGTGTCTGATTTCCAATTTTGGTGGGCATATACCATGAAGGTGGTCAATGATTTTCTTGTTATTTAAAGACAAGATATCATCAATATATCTGAAGGTGAAATTAAACGACTAAGCAAGATTTGTATTAAAATGGTTTCCCTGATATCATTATGTAGCAGGAGGACCTCGGCCAGTGTACCAAAGCGGCCGATTTGCAGACTTTTATTGACTTATTGGAAATGTGTATTAAATACATAAATAATGTTTGAAAAGAGATACAATGATTTATGCTGTTGATGCTTATGACCAAAAAACATACGATGGCACACGAGTCCAATTTTATCAGCAAAGGCTATGCACGTGGAACTATTGATGCCGAAAGTATTGATGTCGTAAACCATTACGTTAAGTGATATAGTTCACAACACGTGTTTAAATACATAAATGACACCACTTAAAACTGACAAGTGGCATTAGTGTTAGGGAATAAATATTAAGGAAAAGGTTTTGCTTTATGAATAATTATTTTACAATGCTCGTGTTTTACATAGCATTTTCTGGTGGATTTACTTTGTGCGATATAATTGTATTTTTTAAAGATTGAAAGTTACTTATTGTTAGGAATCTACTGCGTCTATCTTTTAATCAGCATTATTATATAAACTACTTCACGGAGAGATGATATATATCGTTGTTATATATATGAAAACAAATTAACATGATCGTGATTACATGGTCACCTTCATCAGACAAATGACCAGCGTAAAGGGTGCTACTACTGACGTACGTAGTGTACAAGACGGTAAGGAATATACCATTTTTCGGCTACATCATAACCTTATATACATGTACACTAAGGTCGTCGTCATGTCATAGTAATAATATCTAAGGATTTCAGATAAATTTTATCTATTTTTTGTATTTATAATATTAATTTTAAGAGATCGCAGATAGGAGCTAATAAACCTAGACATAATGATGCTGACTTGCAGATCAATCAAATAGTCTGTGATGAAATCAGGATTCAACAACAGTTTTTCAATGGATAATAAAGTAAATTCTGAATTCTACTTGAAGGCAAAAGGAATTATTTGTTGAAGATATTAAAGTATTTCATTTTGCACTGTATTTTTAAAAGTTATATGGATTGATGGCAGTAAGAACAGCTTTTGGTGTTATGACTTACTGAACCATAGTAAAGTACCGCAAACTTTTCATTGTAATACTTGTCTACATGAACGTATTGTATTTCAGGAGGCACCGATGACAAAAAGGACTTTACATTTCAATTTAGAATTGAGTCAGCAAAGGACTTCCCCGCAAACGTACTTCACAAGACAAAGCTTAAAAATGGTCAGTTTTTCCTTTGTTTTTATATATACCTATTTTGTTGTTTGCCAAGATAATCTTATGTCAGAGAAATCATGTAGGTTTGTATTAAGGACTTGTGGTTTGGTAAATGGTTTGCAATTTCACGAATTTTATAGTTTTCAAATTAATTAACAATATTCCAAATGATTCAACACACTTGATTTGGATATCTTCCAAATACTTCCTACACTGAAGAAAGTGTTGTGAATACTGATCTACAGAATGCATGTATGCTTTCGATATAAGCTTCTGTGCAAAGACACTAGAATTCTACAGTAACAATACTATTTCTTTTATTTCAGAACATATCGAACAACAACCATGGCGCTCATATCGACAACATGACAATAGTAACGGCATTCTTTGACTTAGGATCTTTCCGTAAAGGAACATCACTCACAGTTACCACACAAACTTACATCAATTGGGTTAAAACATTTAAATACATGAATAACTCTTTAGTAGTTTATACAGATTCTGTAATATTTTCGGATATTTTTCGTGAACTACGCAGGGGAATGGAACAGAGAACCAAAATTGTTTTTATGAACAGAACACAACTCTGGGCATTCCAAATACACAATGCCATTAAGACAATATATTCACAAGAAGGCTATCCTAAACATTTCCCCAATACAGTTCTGCCAGTGTATTCTTGTACTCAACATTCAAAATATGAGGTAGTTGCGGACGCTGTCCGTAAACAATACTTCAAATCCAAGTTTTACGCATGGCTGGATATTGGATATTTTCGTGATATTGTTCAATCAAATAAATACTTTACTCTACGTCCATTGGATGATTTCGATAGGAATAGACTTGCCGTTAACCTAGTCTACCCATCGTTGTCACTGAATGTAAGTTATAAATCAATAGTGTACAACAATCAGGTTTGGGTGGGAGGGGGTATGTTTATAGGAACAGCCGATGTTTTACTTGCACTTGAGAAGGAATATAAAAGAGCTGTAATGTTTCTACTAGACAAGCGACTGATAAGTACAGATCAGCAGGTAATTCTATCAATGTATAGTGTACAGGGACGAAAAGATTTGAACACAACTCTACAACTTCAGGTTTATTCTCGAAGACAGAATGAAACTAATTTAAAGAACGGAAACCCATGGTTTTACCTCGGATATAAATGTTTGAACTTTGCATCTACTTGACTTTACGTTGTATTGATATACAATGCACGTGTTCTGTCGCTTATTTGCAATATTCGGTTGAAGTTAATTTTGTTTCACAATGAAACTGTTTCTATTTTCTTTGATTGTACGTGGATAGAAAGCAAGACTTACAGGAGCTACATTAAAGTGATTTAGTTAAAGTCAGTGATGTGAATCTGTCGTCGTATTGCAAAAAATAAAAACCTTGTAAAACCATCTATAAGTGGAAACAGAATTATTAGCATTATATATCTGTCACCTACAATGATATTATCTGTTGATTGAGTTAAACGATGCCACTTTCCTTTTTTATTACCACAAATAAACAATCACTGAACTCAAAACTTTATTGTGAAAGATGGAGTATCACAAATGCAAAGAAAATTATTTGTTAAACAAAATATCAGTTTATTTAAAAAAAAAATAAAATAAAAATGAAAACAAAAACCTGGGTATACTTTCCTTTATAGTCAGTATAATGGTATAGTGGTCGGGTGGAACGCAGTTAAAGATTTTGATATTATTCGTATTAATGCGAATATATCATTCTGTCTCTTCTCGAATGTATAGCACCCTGGGCGAATGTTGGCAGTTTATCAGATTGTAAAGCACCCTGGTCGAATGTTGGCAGTTTATCAGAATGTATAGCACCCTGGGTGAATGTTGGCAGTTTATCAGAATGTATAGCACCCTGGGTGAATGTTGGCAGTTTATTAGAATGTATAGCACCCTGGGTGAATGTTCGCAGTTTATCAGAATAAAAAACATCCTGGGCGAATGGTCGCAGTTTATCAGAATAAAAAACATCCTGGGCGAATGGTCGCAGTATTTCAAAATGTAACGGATCCAGGGAGAATGTTCGCAGTTTATCAGAATGTACAACATCCTGGAGGAATGTTCGCCGTTTATCAGAATGTAAAAGAACCGTGGGCGAATGGTCGCAGTTTATCAGAATGGGCGAACAGTTTATTAGAATGTAAAGCACCCTTGCACCCTTGGCGAATGGTCGCAGTTTATCAGAATGAACACATTCTGGATAAATGTTGGCAGATTATCAGAATGAAAAGCTCCCTGGGCGAAAGGTCGCAGTTTTTCAGACTGTAAAGCATCCTGGATGAATGTTCGCAGTTTATCACAATGTAAAAACTCCTAAGTGAATGTTGACAGTTTATCAGAATGAAAAACATCCTGGGCAAATGTTCACGGTTGATCAGAATGTAAAACATCCTGGGCGAATGTTTTCCGGTTTTTTTTTCAGAATGTAACGCATCCTGGAAGAATGTTCGCAGTTTATCAGAATGAAAAGCATCCTGGAAGAATGTTCGCAGTTTATCAGAATGAAAAGCACCCTTGGCGAATGTTGGCAGTTTATCAGAATGTAAAGCATCCTGGTCGAATGTTGGCAGTTTATTAGAATGTAAAGCACCCTGGGTGAATGTTGGCAGTTTATCAGAATGTAAAGCATCCTGGTCGAATGTTGGCAGTTTATTAGAATGTATAGCACCCTGGGTGAATGTTGGCAGTTTATTAGAATGTATAGCACCCTGGGTGAATGTTGGCAGTTTATCAGAATGTAAAGCACCCTTGGCGAATGTTTGCAGTTTTCAGAATGTATAGCATCCTGGGTGAATGTTCGCAGTTTATTAGAATGTATAGCACCCTGGGTGAATGTTGGCAGTTTATCAGAATGAAAAGCACCCTTGGCGAATGTTGGCAGTTTATCAGAATGTAAAGCACCCTGGTCGAATGTTCGCAGTTTATGTTCGCAGTTTATCAGAAAGTAAAGCATCCTGGAAGAATGTTCGCAGTTTATCAGAACGAAAAGCACCCTTGGCGAATGTTGGCAGTTTATCAGAATGTATAGCACCCTGGGTGAATGTTCGCAGTTTATCAGAATGTATAGCATCATGGGTGAATGTTCTCAGTTTATCAGAATGAATGTTGGCGAATGTTTTTATCAGAATGTAAAGCACCCTGGGTGTTGGCAATGTGTTCAGTTTATCAAATGTAAAGCACCATTGGCGAATGTTGGCAGTTTATCAGAATGTAAAGCACCCTGGGCGAATGTTCGCAGTTTATCAGAATGAAAAGCACCCTTGTCGAATGTTGGCAGTTTATTAGAATGTATAGCACCCTGGGTGAATGTTGGCAGTTTATTAGAATGTAAAGCACCCTTGGCGAATGTTGGCAGTTTATCAGAATGTATAGCACCCTGGGTGAATGTTCGCAGTTTATCAGAATGAAAAGCACCCTGGTCAAATGTTCGTAGTTTATCAGAATGTATAGCACCATGGGCGAAAGTTGGCAGTTTATCAGAATCAAAAGCACACTGGGCGAATGCTCGCAGTTTATGTTGGAATGTATAAGCACCTGGGTGTTGGCAGTTTATCAGAATGTTGGCACTTTATTAGAATGTATAACACCCTGGGTGAATGTTGGCAGTTGATCAGAATGTAAAGCACCATTGGCGAATGTTGGCATTTTATCAGAATGTAAAGCACACTGGGAGAATGTTCGCAGTTTATCAGAATGTATAGCACCCTGGGTGAATGTTGGCAGTTTATTAGAATGTAAAGCACCCTGGCAAATGTTGGCAGTTTATCAGAATGTAAAGCACCCTTGGCGAATGTTGGCAGTTTATCAGAATGTAAAGCACCCTTGGCGAATGTTGGCAGTTTATCAGAATGTAAAGCACACTGGGAGAATGTTCTCAGTTTATCAGAATGAAAAGCACCCTGGGAGATTGTTCGTAGTTTATCAGAATGTATAGCACCCTTGTTGAATGTTGGCAGTTTATTAGAATGTAAAGCACCCTTGGCAAATGTTGGCAGTTTATCAGAATGTATAGCACCCTGGGTGAATGTTGGCAGTTTATCAGAATGTAAAGCACCCTGGTCGAATGTTGGCAGTTTATCAGAATGTATAGCACCCTGGGTGAATGTTGGCAGTTTATCAGAATGTAAAGCACCCTTGGCGAATGTTGGCAGTTTATCAGAATGTAAAGCACCCTGGTCGAATGTTGGCAGTTTATCAGAATGTATAGCACCCTGGGTGAATGTTCGCAGTTTATCAGAATGTATAGCACCCTGGGCGAATGTTGGCAGTTTATCAGGTTGGCATAGTGGGCGAATGTTAAAGCACCCTGCAGTTTATTAGAATGTATAAGCACACTGGGCGAATGCTCGCAGTTTATCAGAAAGTAAAGCATCCTGGTCGAATGTTCGCAGTTTATTAGAATGTATAGCATTTTTAGATATGTATGCAATGTTGGCATTTATCAGAATGAAAAAAAAATTGACGAATGTTGGCAGTTTATCAGAATGATCATTTCGCCGGATGATGATGATGATGATGATGATGATGATGATGATGATGATGATGATGATGATGCCCTTTGAGGGTGCGTTTCATCTAAAGTAATTTATAAATATGTTCATACCACCATAAACGCCAAAACTGTTCGGTTAATAATTTAAAAATAGTTACTATACGCATGAATTACCGTCCTTCTAAGTTTTATAACACGTCATTACTTGTGTGAGTGCCACTACTGACGGGCAGCTCAATATTATGTAACAATGACAGTCAGTGTAAACAGGTGCTTACAAAACGATGTGCAGTTTGGTATCACTACTCCTACCATGTCGCCGTGTTTAGATTGTCGATGGAAATATAACGGTAGAAATGTACACTGCCTCCACAAACATCAATGTTCAATCAATTATTGTATTTTACATATGTTATTGGCATATATTTCAGTCGAACATATTAGATATTTTGTCTGATTATTTAATATCTGTATGGATGTGTTTTCGTTTATATCATATATCTTATAATCACGGATTATTCCTTAAATGATTAACTTAGCTTATTCAATAAAAATCAAATTAATGATACAACGGTTGAAGCACATAAAAACTCGATCAACATATATGCATTAGCAATATGAATGGCAAAACCCCTCAAAGTAAAAAGGATTCTTAATTCATATTTGCATTGTAATAATATTGCTTCTTTATTAGGACCATAAAATCCACGAAAAATTGTTCTGGTGTCATATCAATCGTGGTTCGGGGAATAACCTGAATTCTCCTATTGAGTCATGTGCATACCAAGTGCAGTTGTGAAATGACCCAGAACTATCTACAGGTCAGAGATAGAATAAACGACTAAAGTTAAACGCCAACTCATAACTATTTCTACTGAATTCACTTTTTTCTTGTCTTTCTTTTTTTTCACTAGAAAAAGTTTTACTGTTATAAAAATGAGAAATCTGAAAAGCCTAAGATTTTTGATAATAGGTAATTCAAAATTTAATTTTCAATGCAATGTATATAATTTGGAATCATAATACTTTTCTTACCTTACAGCTATAGATAAAGGGGGACACATTCATTAGAATGCCAAGTCCTTGGTGGGTTACCGTCTCACAGAGATTTCCAAACAAAATGGGATACGATCTTGACGGTGATACATCTATATGAATCTAATAACGCTGTTTCACCATAACAATATCTGTACAATACAGAACGGTCATTACATAAGTTAGATACATATTTAGAAGAGTTTTGCTATGAACTTGTTTCTTCAATGATTGCACATGCGATATATTGGCTTCTTTTGTGTATGAGAAGGAACAGATTCAACTGGTGTATTATAAAACTATTCATCCGAATTCCTGGCCAATCGTTTTCCAGCCTAATATATATACAACTTCTATGGGCGACAGTTTAAGACTATATTTCATAAGGATACATTTACAATAAAGTGGTGATCCGATATCTTTTTCATGAATCTATTGTAGTTACGGACATGATAATGGTGACTAATTAATCAATTGCAAAGCATGCACAGAGGAACATGAACGCGACTTGTTGTTCTTATCACGTCAAACCACAGTTACACAGTTACAATGTCCATGACATAAATAAAGAATCGTAAATTATTTATGAAAAACGGTTTAATCATAAAAATCGTTGGCAGTGCGATGATGATTTACAGTCACTTAGGTAATAAATACATGTGGTAACCTGATACATAGACATATATTGCTACATTACTATTTTTATAGAGCTGTATATTTTAGCATAAATCAAAAGGATCACATTTGAAGCACCAAAGACTGCGGGTTTCATGCAGCATGGACGAAATCCAACCCACCACAAAGATATTTACACGGAACTTTAAGTGAATTACTTTGGTATTGGCAAACTATTGATTTTACGTCTGTCATCAAGCCTTTCAATAATACATACAGATAACCGGTTTTCAAACATTAGCACAGTAAGTTTTTAAATTACTTCATATCTGGAAATATAAATTTCCAATATGACCCTATTTCTTCATGATAATGTCAAAACGCCATGCAACTAAGGGCATTCATACCACGTTAATTTATATGCAGTCAATTCTTGTCAACATGGTTGATCGTAGACGTAGACGCCTTGTGTTATGTCTGTAATTTTGTACCGACTAACAGTGCCATAGATCTGAACAATTAAGTGTTTGATACGTTTGTTTATATCTTGGATATGTTTTACTTTCGGCTATGAAGACCCATTATTGGAACAGCCAATAGCAGCCATGTTGCATTCCATTGTATTTGAACAAAATTGCACAGCATGAACTTTTAATGATGATTTTGTATTTGGAAAGATATTTAAGGAGCGTACTCACGTTTGGGAAATTTTCAAAAAGATACTTTCTGTAGATGAAAATTTGAAAAATAATAAATTCTACATCATTGTTATTTTGACATTTTTGCTCCGCGTAGTAATTTCTTAAATATTTCGATCAAGGCAATATAACGACGCGTGCTTGCTTTGTCCGGTTCCTAGAACAGAAAAATTACCATGTTTTTACATTGACGCTACAAGATAGTGTATAGTCCGTTTGTTGCTGTAAAAAGCCTTATTGGTACATAATCTTTCATAATAAACAGATTTGTAGACGTATCTGGGAGTTAATCGAAAACAAAAACTACGTAGTTATATTAGATGTTCGTATTATATCAATGTAATCCTTATCACCAGCGGTAGGTCGGTCAATGTGTACTAGTAAAACAGGTAACCTGTTTGGGAAAGTCAGTAATCTTCGATAGATGTTACTTTGAGTAATTATTGGGTTATCAATTCTTTCATTCTCATCAAACGGTACAAACCTAAACTTGATCATACTTTACTATTTTTCGTAGGCGATCCAAACGAGCACACATTATAACAAGTAGGTTTCATTCTACAGTGGCTACTCTGTCGATGGTCGACCTATCTACACCCTGAAAACTGAACATGGATCGACAACACTACATCACACTAATTTATCTCCCCTTCAACATGTATCGACAACACTATATAACACCTATTTATCTCCCCTTAAACATGTTTATCTTCCCTTCAACATGTTTATCTCCCCTTCAACATGTATCGACAACACTACAGAACACCTATTTATCTCCCCTTCAACATGTATCGACAACACTACAGAACACCTATTTATCTCCCCTTCAACATGGATCGAAGGAAAAACGGTTTAACAACCATGTTACATGGTTAACATGTTGAAGTTTTGATAAGACTGAATAGAAACAACAAACCATATGTTTCTTATCTTTAAAAAGATCAAACTCCAAATATTTTATCTCATTGATGTGACTGAAACATTAGAAGAAGTTGACACTATTTGTTCTAGATGAGTTATGTTGGATTTTGGACCAAAGCTTAAAATAAGATTTGGTCAGGACAATTTTGCGATCACTTCACACATGTTTGCTGACACTGAGACTCCCCGATCTCTCAGGCAAAAATTTGGTTGAAATTTACCCATTTGGAGCCCCTCCCCAAGGGCTTTAACGATTGAAGCAACTTTCTAAATTTAAGAATTATTTGCCAATCCCTACTGATGTTACATTGGAAGATTAGCTTTTTAAAGTGAAGTATTGTCTAACTACCCATATATGGCCAAAACCCCAGGTCCCTAGGGGTCAAATCAAATTTCAGAATTTAAGAAGTTATTCCCCAACCCAAATAATGTTTCAGACCTAATAGCAGTAGGTCACCTGGACCCTTTAAATATATATATATATATATTTCTTATTAGATATTGTCTGAATATAATTATAGTCACTATAATAGTAAGATGCCCCTCCGATTAATTCTCCATGAAACCTAGGTAACTTGCAATCATGAATAATAATAGTATTCTGGACATATTTACTTCACAAATTCCTTACAAAATTTTGCTTCACATTAAAAGAATACTATAAATTTGCACGTATAGTGCACACATTTTTAGGTTAAAGTTTCTTGTCAAAAAAAAGATGCGTACAAAAAGTTACGAAAGTACTACAAATTTCAACAGAACAGGTTCTATGGTACTTATGACTTGCACGAATGGAACAGTAGACCGATAAATCCATAGAGCACTAAGTAATTACAAGCAGTTCATAGTACTGAAGTCACTTTGCACTAAACACAAACACAGTTTTTGAAAAAAAAATCCTTCAAATTCCTCATCATCGTCACTGTTAAAGAAGGACGCTGCATCGAAATCTGCCTCTGTAGTATTCTCGTTGTCATGTTAAAAGAGGTCGTCATCTATCATCCTCCAAGTCAACATCAATGGCGGGTCCACTTTCATGGGTCATCTGTTCACAGAATGTCCCATCCCATTGATGCTTTGAAAGTGGTGACCTTATGACCCCTCTGGATCTGCATCTGTAAAACAATTATTGTTAAAAATAAAATGCTAAAAATCTTAAATGGGGTATATTAACACAAAAAATTAAAATGGTACGTTACAGTCTATTTTATAGACCAACATCTTTCAGGCAATGCAGAATTTTACAAATCTCAACAGTTTCAAAAACAGTTTTTAAACATGTAATGTTACGATAAAAACATTCTCGAGTAGACAGAATGTCAATGCAGTCCAGTAAAAAATATTTTTAAAGGCGAATGGCTCATCACATTCTATGCATCGAGGATTATCTTCGCCTTTCAACATATATGAATGTGTAAGGTATGTATGACCCATCCGAAGACGGGCAAGGACAACTTCGTCTCGGTGGTTGTCTCTTTAGCAGAGAGACCATTCACCGATAATAGGTTTTACGGAGTCCAATTTGTTATTGGTATATGTATTCCATTCCTCCTGCCACTGAGCTTTTACAATGTGTTTAATAAATGGTTTAAAATCGGTAAAATGAAGTTTAAAAACCACAGGTGGTGCGATAAAGCTTCATTTGCGGCACGATCTGCTTTTTCATTGCTTGGTTTTCCCATGTGCCCAGGAACAAAGCAAAAATCAATACGAAAGTTAAAGGCAAGTTCATAATATAGTATTAATGTATAACGAATGAAAATATTTCCGATATTTCTATTGCTAAGACATTGTAGAACAGGAAAGAGAGTCTGAATGGATAGCATCTCTACAATTTCTACCATATACTTCAGTAAGATGGAACTTGGTTTTTTTAAGTTGGGAACATCATGTACAGAAATACCACAAGAAAATGTCTAATACGCCTGAGTATTTCTTTATGCATGCACAGACATATGTAAACCGGTCAAGTATTGACCACCCTGCAAAAGATACCAAGATTCCTGTAACCAAACCTGCCCATGTTCCAGTGATAAGCTGTTAATT